TATATGTGTGTATATATGTATGTTTGTATATTCATTTATTGGTACATGTAAAACAGACACAGTGTATGAACATAAATTTTGCAATGGACCTCATTAACATAAATGTTGCACACAGAAATAATTGAAACATGTAAGCAAAACTGAACTGAAAAACAGAACTAAAGTATTATAAAAAGTTTGACAAATGCGAGTATTTCCTATATATGGCACAGCCGGACATCTAGGTTGCTCTAGTAATAGAAGCGATAGACGGCAAAGAGCACCAGCAGTACAATCAATATGAATAGCTTAGATTTAAGTTTGTATTTGTTATCCAGTGTCTGCCACAAGCGAGCCAGTGCGTTGAGGGATGAGTCCTGTCCCTGGCGTAGAGAACGGCGTCCACCGGTAATGATGCTGCTGGCAGGTACGCTGCGCCTGTAGCTGGAGCCACGCTCCCCTATCCGTTCGGCGCGCAGGCGTGCCAAATTGCGAGCAAAGTCGCTTTCAAATTTAACGCCCTGTCCATCCTCTTCAGCGGCATCATCGCTGAATTCGTTGCTGTAGGTGCGTGGCGGCGAGCGGCGTAAGCTGCTGCTGCTGTAGCCAARGGCTGAGGATGATGCACTTGTGTAGCTCTGGGCGGGCGAGCTCACATAGCTGGAGTAACGGCCAGTTGCCGGGCGGTAATCATAGCTGTTGATGGTGCTTGTAGCACCTAGTGTGGCGCGTGGCTGGGTGGGACTGGGTGCATCCTCGTAGACCTGCTTGAGACGCTGTTGCTCCAACGGGTTGGGCTGCAGACTGGGATACAGTGGCTTGGCCACATATTCATGAGTATTTACGGTGGTAGCCATCAGCTTGGACCTTGGCTTGGGTTTGCTGCCGATCTGTCTGTTGTGTTCACTGTACTGGTCCTCAGCATCCTGGGCAGCTTGGGCCAGCTGCTCATCCTCCTCGTCATCGGACTCTAGAATGATCAATGAATTAACCAGCAAAGGTTCCTCGCTCTCACGCTGATTGGCTGGCACTGTGGGCTCCTCTGCAATTGGCTCCGGCTTGCGAGCGATCCGTTCTTTTGGCGGTTCACGTCGCTCCGAATTGGAAATGCGACGGGACTGTATGGGCGCAGCCTTAACCGGAACTGGTTTAACGACTGTAACGGCCTCCGGCACGGCTTGTGGCTTGCTCACTGGCTGCTGCTGCTGCTGCTGCCGACGACGACGTTCGTCCTCTTTGGTGTCGCTGGGATTGACGGCAATGGTGCGCCGTGCCTTACTTGCTACTGGGGCTGCATCTGGTTTATCCACCTGTCCAGCAGTTGTACTAGCAGCAGCAACAGCTGCTGGCTGCAAGGTCTCGCGACGTGCGTTGCTCTTCTTCGGACTGCCTGCCGGCAAGGCGGCGTTGCCGCCCAATGAGGCGCGTAAACGTTTCACCAACACCTTACGGCTGCTATCTGTGACTGGTATATTCGGCAATCCCTGGGCCAGCATCCGTGCACGCAGTTCGGCATTAGATAAATTGTCCAAATTATCTGTTTCAGCCATAATTTTTGTTGCCAAACACGCTTTTCACAATTCGTTGAAATTGAAAGCAGTTGCGCGTCACTTTTTTGCGCGGTGCGATGTTAGTTAGCGATGTGCGATAAGCGTAAATAATCGATTAATTTATGAATATTTGCACACAATGAGCTCGCGTTTCCTTTTATTGATTGTTTGAAGCACTACAGATTCTGTAAGATTTTTTTTAGTTTTTGCTTTTACAATTTTTTTGGTAGCTTTATAGAAACTGGTTTTTATAAATTTGTAAGCAAAGTCTGTATATTGTATACAGATGTGGCAGCGCTGCTAGATTTGAGTGCTGAGTAGCTCCAATTTGTAGTTACTTTTCAACACTATTTCAATGGTGTCAATAGAAAGTCAAATAACAAACATTTTAATTCAATTCTCGCGCCTTGCATTGTGAAAGCTTCAATTGGTCCAATTAATCAATTGGACATTTGCTTTAGCCAAATGATCCTATCATGGGTGGCGATATAGAAAATATTCGGTAAGTGGACGCAGCGTAGCTAAAATACGATTGGCACTGGCAAAATTTAAAAACATTTTGTAACAGACTTTTAGGCATAAGCTTAAAGACATATATTATGTCATATTGCCAGTTTGACCAAAAGCCCTTATTTAATTCGATTTTTGTCAAGCGATTTGTATAGTTTACTAAATTTACTTCTAATTTATATCACTTCTCTGCCGTACTGCTTAGTGAAGCACAATAGTTCAAGAAAACAGTTTATACTTCGACCAGGGCTGCTAAAATGTCACTGAGAAAAAATGCATTTGRTGATCTGGCAGCACTGGCAGTTTTCCTGAGTTGCTTCACATCGCTAAGAGAGTATACTTGGGTAAAAGCAGCTCATTGAGGTGAACCAGCTCACTCGCTCTTTTTTGTGAAGTGAGCCAACTCACTCATATGGCTCACTGGCTCACCTGCTGATTGCTTGGCTTTTAAATGTTTATTCAAATTGCCTTGTGACTTGCAGCTTAAGACACTTTTGCAAATCTTGCATTTAGCCTGTTGCGTTCCCATGTCCTCAAAATGAGTCCCAATTTCGCTGTGCATTCTAATTACCGACATTGAAAGTTTGATGAAATACACGATTCGTGGGAAAAAACGTTAACTTTGTGATTGAGAAGAACGCAAAATGAGCGAGTGAGCAAAAATGTCAACCAAAATGAGCTAGTGAGCCAAAATGAGCCATATAGAAGGAACTGGCTCACTGGCTCAGTTCAGTGAGCCATTCATTTTAGCTCACTCACTCATGAGCTACCCAAGTCTATAAGAGAGCTAGGACAAGTAAATGCAAAACAAACGTAAATAAGACTAAATCTCGCTGCTGAAAAAACAGGAGATAATTCTAACTTGGCTGCCTATGCTTGGAGAGTCCACGTAGACTTCATTTAGCATACACAATGGACATATCGAAGGCACCAAACCCACGCAAACTACAGCTCTGCCGCATCTACTTTCTGAGTATGACTAAACTCTCTCTCCCTCCATCTCTCGCCCACTCACTCTCTAAAAAAAACTTTACTTTTAGCTGGCTTCGCTTTTCTGCCCTTCGTGTGGGCCGTAAATGTTTGCTGGTTCTTTGAAGAGGCGTTTCGCAAGCCGCCATACACCGAACAGACTCAAATAAAGCGCTGTAAATGAGTGAATGGCATGCATTATATATACCCTGAGTTATCTGATTTCTCCATTGCAGATGTGATATACTCAGCTATAGGGACGTTCATCTGGACAATTGCACTGATCACCTGGGTTATTCTATTCCAAGCGAATCGTGCGGCTTGGGGTGCCACCGCCGACTATATTAGCTTTATCATTCCATTAGGGGTCCCATGATCTTGAGTCGATTCTAATTTATGGTATTAAAACTAACAAATTGATATTAAACTAAATAAATGAAAACACAATATACAAGATATGATTATAGAGAACACTAAAAATCACTTTTTAAATACATTTTTTATTCACATCTAAAGCTTATTTTTTGTTATATATATTTGTGTACTATACTCTTGAAATTCTCTTACACACTAATTATGTGTTAATTCTTCTTCATAATTTGTAATAATTTTGTTTTGAATGCGAATTCGTTTCATTTTGTTGTTGTATCTCGCTTTCGCTTCCGTTTCCGCTTCGTTGACGGCTTCCGGCTGTCTTGATATAACATACAATTTCATTGTTTTAGAATGTCATAAAGTGTTGTTTGCTCTTGTTATTTGCTCGATTTTTAAAAATACATAAATATTTGTTTGTTAAAAATGTCTGCGCTTGTACCATTTTGAATAATCAACTAATCTGATGTCAGTTTTCGTTTACGTTTACGTTTTATATCCTTTGTTAATTAATGTCGTCTCTACGCTGATTCCACTACGAACGAGTGAATTGAATTGTTGCGATGATTGCGAAATTGCGAAGTGAAAATGCAATGTGGGGAGACAAATCTAACACGCACACACATACATAATTAATTTTGTTTTTTCCTCAATTGCCTGTGAGTTCCCAATGGTATATGTGGTCCTAGTGTCACACACATGTCACATATCAATTAATCAATCAATCAATCAAACAGGGAATCGCAACTAATTTACAATTTATAAAAAGTCTCGATTTAAGTTATATTTACATGCAATACTTATTTGTTTTTCACTTGTTGATTGATAAATTCTAAAGAATCGTTTTTCGCTTTTATAGTTTTTAGTTTGTTTTCTTTAATATAAAACATTAAGTGCCATTTAATCACGCGTGTAGTCTATGATGAAGCGGCTAGTGAGCTCTACAACAAACAGAACATTCAACTTCTGCTCCACACTTTACATTCACAATCTAGTTAATTTATATTTATATATAAATGTAAATTACACATATATCATATAGTAATAATAATCATAATCATAATAATAATAATAATAATTATATTTTCATCATATCATACACATACATTTATATATATATTTTTTTATATATATAGTATAAATATTTCAAAGTACACGCTTAGAAACATCTAAATGATTCACAAAACTAAAATAATTTTTATCTTTTGTTTGTTTGTGTTTTTTTTTTTCAGGGTTTTTTTTGCTTTTGTTTAGTTTTCTCCGAGGAGAAACTACTGGATACGAATAGTACACACATACATATACATATACAATATATAAGTTATAGAAGAATGGGCGCGCCCTTTGTCTTTTAGATGCAAATGTCGCGCTGGCTCCATTCGCAACACAGATAAGGATTAATTAATACACGATGCTAAATGCTAAATTGTAAGTGCTACGGTTTTGTTGATTTTTCCTTTTTGTTTTTTTTTTGTAATTGGTAAACTGTAAACGGTAATTGGTAATTGGTAATCGATAATCGATAATAATTCGTTAAACAATATGCATTAATATTAATTATATAAATTTTTGTTTGCTTTTGTTTTTTTTTTTTTACAAGAAATCAACACTACAACAGAATTTTGCTTTTACTTCTCTTTTTGTTTTGCTATGTTTTCTTTTGTTCATGTTCGATTTACGCCTCTCTCGTATAATATATATATATACTATAATTATATTATGTTTTGTTTAATATGTATATATATGCAAAATACACTTAGGAAAAACATTGTTAATTTGTAGTTTATGCTATATAATTATATCATATTTTGTATGTACTCTAGAAATATATTCATATACATATACATACATATCTATAGATATATGCATATATAATGTTGTTTGTTTTTTCGTTTTTTCTTGTATCTGGTAATAGTAGTGATAACTTAGGGCTTAAACTAAATCTTTATAGTTAACACGTTAAACGAAACATACAAAAAATACTTATAAATATAAATAGTCGATTTCTGTTGTAGTTGCTTTTGTTGCTCTTGTTGTTTAAGTTGGGGTGCTTGGGACAGTTGTTGTTGTTGTTTTGTAACGTTTGTAAAAATATTAAATATATATTCTTTATTTATATGCTATATATGATTTATGTGCGCACGCCCAGGGCTAATAGCAAATGCATTTGGGTATTTATCAACCACTGCCTCTTCCAGTTTCGATCTCGATCTCCAACTCGATCCGCATTCGAATTCCATTCCAGCATTCCGCTAGTTGTTCTTCACATTGTAGGCTTTCTTCTCGTTGCTGCCGTTCAGTTGTTCTCATTTTGTCGGACCCGGCGGAAATGGATTTATCACAGCTACTGCAGCCGCTTGTTGGCTGGCCAAAACGGCCGCTAAAAGCAAGCAACAATCATGAGCAACTGTGTCTTTTGGAACAGATTGAAACCCCGCTGAGCCCATCTTAACCCATTACTCACCTCCATAGGGCGCCGTGTACATGGGATAGCCGAGGCCGACGTGCGTATGATGGTGTGTGTGCACATGTCTCTGCGGCGGCGGACTTCGCGAATCGGCGGCACCAGCACCACCAGCAGCACCATTGCCAGCACCGCCGCCGGCCACTCCTACAGCTCCATTGCCAGCGGGGCCGGCACCGATGGGCGGTGCACCAGGTAGCGGCTGCTTGTGGGCATCGAGTGCTGCGCCGGGCGCCACGCCATGCGATTTTTGGCCAGCCATGTCTGGTTTGTTGGACGGCGGGCCGCCTAGGCTGCCGGGCGGTGGCTGCAGATTCAGTGGAACACCGCCTGCACTGCCTGGCGCCGAGCCGGGCGGATTGGGACCTGGACCGCCCAGCACGCTGGGTCCAGAGCCGGGCCCACCGTTGCCAGGTCCGCCGCCCGGTTGCGGCAGACCCAAGCTGGGGCTGCTGACGCTGACCTTGACCGGTCCGCTGGCGCTGGTGGGAGATTTGAGTGCACGTTCGCTCAGCTCATGGATCTTGTGCGTGGTGTAGTACTGGCTGGCCGCATGATGCAGTGCGTCCAGCGCCTTGGTGCCCGTATTCCGCGACAGATCCTCGGGCGCATGATAGCGCGTTATGGGCAAATGATACGGCGGCGTATTGTATGGCCCAGCTGCGGACATCAGCACATTGCGGTACATCGGATGATTGGGATCGAAGCCAAATGGCGAAGGCGAAATGTACGAGGGATGCAGGAAGTATTGCGATGTAGGCGGTGGCGGCGGACCTTGCGTTTCCATGGTAGGTTTCTGGCCCTCCTGCTTCACCTTCAGCTGCTGCTGCTGCTGATCATCGTCGGCGGCGCTGTTGCCCTTTTGCTTGGGCGAGTCCTTGGTCAGGTTGGTTGCCTTGTTATTGGCTGCCGCATTGGCTTGCGATTGCTTAAGCTTCTGTTGTTGCTGTTGCTGCTGCTGCTGTTGTTGCTGCTGCTGCTGTTGCTGTTGTTGCTGCTGCTGCTGTTGTTGCTGCTGCTGTTGCGCCTGCTGTTGCTGCTGCTGCTGGTGTTGCTGCTGCGCCTGCTGCTGCATATGCTGGTGATGCTGTTGCAACGCTTGCTGCTGATGTGCTAGCGATAGTTGCTGTTGTTGCTGTTGCTGCTGCTGCTGCTGTTGTTGTTGCTGCTGCTGTTGCGAGCTTAAGCTGGACTCATCTTTATGCTGGGGCGGCATTCCAGGATGCGGTTGCATGCCGGAAGCATTCTGTGCCGCTGCAACAGCTGCAGCATTCTGACGCCGCTGCTGATCCGAGAACATATAGTAGCTGCCAACGAGATGAACAAGATTATAAATATGTACACCAACTAAAAGTTTCATCTGGAATTTACCGTCGCAGCTCATCCTCGCGCGCTGCTGCCGCCAGGCTCATGGAATGACGCTGATAGATGCTTGGATGATAAGCGCCCAGCGCCTGCAGATCCTTTGGATGCAGTGCATGTGGCTGCTGTGGCTGTGGCGGTGGCTGCTGTTGTTGCTGCTGCTGCTGCTGTTGTTGTTGCTGCTGCTGCTGCTGCTGATGCGTTGGCGGCGGTGGCTGCTGATTGGGTTCCTGTTTGATCTCTTGCTTGATCATTGGCTCCTGTTTGATTAGCTTGTTGCTCAGCAGCTGCAAGAGAGAATAGCCGTTAGTATTTTCTGTAACCAGCAACACCTGAGCTGCATTTACCTGCTGCTGTGGCGGCATATGCTTGGGGTTATCATGCGGGCTGGGACTCTCCTTGGTGCGCTCCTCCTTGATGCTAATGCCGGCGAGCTGCTGCTGCTGCTGTTGTTGTGCCTGCGAGCTGGGCGGCAAACCAGGATGACCGCCTAGCTTGGCGGCCTCCTCGGAGGCCACAATCGAAACGGGTCCAAAGTTGGGATCTACGCTGTAAGGATAGCCCGGCGGTATGAAGCTGCAAAGATAGAAGAAGTTTAGATTCAAGGTAAGCTCTCTATTTAAGCCTTAATGTTTAGCTCACTTGTAGGGATAGAAATGACCCAGAGCCTTGGCAGGCGATGGTCCGCCTAGACCCGCTAGCCCAGCAATACCAGGCGGCAGACCGCCAGGTGGTCCAGCCACAGCGCTGAGATTAACCGGCGGCGGTTGCACCTGCGCCGGCTGCGATGGGGGTGGACCGTTGTCCTTGCCGTTGTTGTCGGGCTGCTGCTGCTGCTGCTGCTGCGGTGGGCCACTTGGCTGTGATTGTGGCTTTGTCATCAGGTCCAATGGCGGCTCCTTGTTCTTGTTGCTGTAGTCGGTCAGGTGGCCGACAGCCTGCTGGGCGGGCGGCGCCAACAGATGCGACTGTGGCGTCTGTGAGGTAGCTGGCGGTGCCCCCGGCTGTTGCAGTTGCTGCTTGCCTGGTTGCAGTGCCTCCGGACCGGGTTGCACCATGTACTGTGGCTGCGGTTGCTGTGGCAGCGGCGGTGGTTGCAATTGCTGTTGCTGTTGTTGCTGCTGCTGTTGTTGCTGTTGCTGCTGTTGTTGTTGCTGCTGCTGCTGCTGCTGTGCCGCCGGATAGAACTGATACATGCCATAGCCGGCCAGCGAGGGCGGTATATTGGGCGTTGGCGCTGGTGGCACGCCCACCTCGCTGGGTTTCTTGCCAAGCAGCTCAATATGCTTGACCGGCTGCGATTTGTCCAGCGGCTCTGGCTCCGCAACGGGCGTGGAGTCATCCGAGATATCACTGTACGCTGGACTCTGCACATCCTCGCGCGAAACACTGCCATCGAAATCGCCCGGACCAGGCGATTTCCTGTTCTTCTTCTGCTTGCTGCTGGCGCCCACCGAAGCAGGCCCAAAGCCAGGCGAGCTCTTCAGCCCTGGCGGCGGCTGCTGTTGCTGTTGTGGCACATAGCCGCCGGCGGGTGGCTGTTGCGGATCCTGCGACAGACTGGGCGGACGCAGTGGACTCTGTCCAGGCAGCGACTGCTGCGTGTTAACGCCAGGCGGCGGCTGTTGCTGCTGCTGTTGCTGTTGCTGCAGAGCTGCCGCATCAGGTGGACCGAAGCGTAAGACGCCCGCTTTTACTGCAAGTGCGAAAAAAAGGAATTTTAATTTCGAAACGGAAATATAATCTAGCTTCAACTTACATGCYCCCTGCTGTAGCAGCGCCTGCTGCTGCTGCTCGGATAGCATTGCCGGCAGTCCGGCGCCGACGAGTCCGCCCAGCAGCTGATGCTGGGACAGCGCCTGTGTGGAGATGCCGGCCGTGATGCTGCCGCCTGCAATGGGTTGGCTGCCAGGCATGCCACCGGATGGCAACACTGCTGCTGGCTGCGCTTGTGTGGGCGTTGCTGGCGGTGGCTGTGGCACGGCAGCTGTCGTGACAACCAGCGGCAACACTGGCAATGGTGCCGCCACACCAGCAACAGCAGCAACAGCCGCTGCAGCAGCAGCAGCAGCAGCTACTGGATCTGTGGCTGCGCCTGCAGCAGCTGGCAATGCAGTGCCATTTGCTGTTGCGCCGTTTGCCTCTGCTGCTGCCGCTGCCGCTGCTGCTGCAGTAGTAGCAACAGGCACTGCTGCTGCTGTTGCTGCGGCTGCGGCTGAAGGCGATACTGCTGTTGGTGTTGTGGCTGGTGGTGCTGTTGGGGTGGCTGCTCCGTTAGCGGCAACTGTTGGAGTCGCCGCTGCCGCCGCCGCCGCTGCAGCTGCTGCTGCCACTGCTGGCAGCGGCGATGGCGGCGTTGCTGGCTCATCGGGCGCCTGCATGGAGTCCTCGTCCATGGAGCTGACACCGCCGCCGCCGCTGCTGCTGCCGCTGGCGCCGTGCGCATGCGACTGATGGTAGCGCAGCCCGTTGGCGTGCTTGTACTTCTTGCTGCAGTCCTGCTCGGGGCACTCGAGCAGCACCGGTGAGATCGCGCAGGGCGAGGCAGTCTTACATTTCTTTGTGTTGATTTGCACATTGAGTCCGGTCACTGGATTGAGCAGGCTCTGCGGCTGGGTGGCCAGGCCACCGCCGCTGGCCGAGATGGGAATGCCGCTGGCATTCACCATGCTCACCATGCCTCCGGCACCGTCGCCGGCCTCGCCGTTGAGCGGTGATGGCGCCTCGTCCTTCGACTTGCGCTTCTCGGGCCGCGGCGGCAGAAATGCTGTCGGTGAGGTGCTGGGCGTGGCACCACCACCGCCTCCATTGCCCGACGAGCTGCCGCTATTGGTCGCATTGCCAGTGGCGCTACGCGTCGCACCGCGTCCCTTGGTAGCGCCATTGCGCAGCTTCGAGTGCACCTGGGCATGCGAGAAGTAGATCTGAGAGAGCAGAGGAGAGGGGAGGATTAGGTTAGCCAATTGATCTGAGTTAATTGTACTCACCGAGCTTCTGGTTTCGGTAAAGTTGCTCAGATCGGGCGTCAGACCTGCGCTGCGTCCGCGCTTGCCGCGTCCCTTTGGAGTACGAGAATCTAATTCTTCAGTTGGTGAATCACAGAATCTGCAAAGCGTAAGAATGAGCATAAAGTGAGGTTAGAGCACATCAAACTTTACTTGAGTAGAAGTTGAGATAATGTGGGGACTTTTTAGTAAGGGTAAATTTAATCAAATTTAATTATGTAAACATGTAATCTGATTCCTCTATATATAGAGACTTTTAATCAAATCAAAATTTATGATTTATATAAAAATCTCTATGGGGCATGCCTAGCTATGATTACAGATTACAATATTGAAATCGAAAACCCCCCAAGATTTATTCAACAACCTTTTGGTAGAATTCTTACTGATGAAATGATTCCATCAAATTATTGTGTTTGTAATCCTAAACACGTAAGTATATAAAATATATATCAACATTATAAAATAGCCTATAACTGTATATGAAGCTATATATAAAACTGCCAACCCTATACAAATATTATTTAGCTCTTTAATAGAGTAAATAAATAATCTTAAACATTTTAAACACGAAAACTAATGCCCTATAGAAAAATCTCTATTATTATATTCCTCTTCAAACTGTTTGCTAAATGCAAAAATCTCTCCAAATCAAAAATTTTTAGAAACAAAAAAAAAAATGTCCAAAAGTAGGTTTTACAAAAAGGCATCTTTATTTTTGCATAAACAGTTTGAGAGCGAATGTAGCTAGCAGGGAGTGGGAGTGGGAGTGGCAGTGGCAGTTGCTAAGGATTAGGACTAGGAGCGGTAGCAAAGGAGGTTACTCGAATGCAGCTACTCACCTTGGAGGAGCCCAATCGTGTCGGGTGCAATCGAGCAGGGTGCCCACATAGGTCTTGCCGCGCCACGTCACATTCACGACGAGCACGCCGCCCTCGGTCTCGTGCCACACGATGCCCTCGAGGGTGACCGAGGTGCCGGGCTCGCAGGGGCCGAGGCAGTCCGGCTCGGTGATGGTGCCCACCGAGGTGCCAATGCAGATGTCGACCATGTCCTTGCTGTTGTCGCTATGCTTGGCACGTTTGGCAGGCGGCGATGAGCTCCCCTCATCGGCGGCACCACCACCAACGCCGACACCGCCGCTGTTGCTGCTGCTGGCGGGCACCGAAATCGTGTGGTGCATGGTGGCTGAGATCATGCCGGGCGCCATTAGCTTGGCCTGTGCCAGGCTGGCCGCCTTGCTGTCAGCATTGCTGCCTGCGACGGCATTTGCGGCATTTGCACCGCCCGCCGCAGCTGAACCACTCTGGCTGCCCGTGTAGTTGTTGCTGTTGTTGTTGTTGCCGCTGCTGCTGTTGCTGGCATTGCTGTTGCCGCCACCGCTGGATGATGCAGCCGCTGCGGCCAGCTGTGCGGCAATGTGTGAGGATATCTTAATGCTTGCATCCTTGCCCGGCGGCCCAGGCGCATTGGCAGCCCCAGCATTCAAGCCACTGCCGCTGCCATTGCCCGCAGCTGACTGCGAGGCATTGCTGGCCGCTGTTGTGGCAGCCAGCAGCGAGGCGGCCGCCGAGACCACAGCAGCCGGCGAGCCGGCAGAGGGCGTAAATACGCCGGGCGGCACAGCCGTGGCTGTGGCATTGTTGCTGCCGTTGTTGTTGCCCATGCTGCGGCGTATGCAGGCATGATGTGAGCACGGCGGCGCTGAGCCCGCAGCAACATCTCCATTGCACTGGCAATTGTTGCTGTTGCTGGTGCTGTTGTTATTGTTGTTGTTGTTGCTGCTGCTGCTGTTGCTATTGCTGTTGCTGTTGCTGGCGTTCTTTTCGGGCGTGTCTTTTTCACCAGCTGCCGATGCAGCTGACTTGTCTACGCTGAGGCGATTGGAATGTGCGTTCTTATCCTTTGTCTTCTCGCGCCTATGCCCAGAGCTCCCTCGCTTGTTGCCCTGCGGCGTTGACTGTGCGTTGTTGTTGCTGCTGCTGCTGCTACTGCTGTTGCTGCCGTGCGTATTATTTGGATTGGCATTGCTGTTGCTACTGTTGTTGTTATTGTTGCTGTTGTTGTTGCTGCTGCTACTGCTGCTGCTGCTGGAATTGTTGAGATGCTTTTTGCTGCTGCTGCCACTGCTGCTGCTGCTGTTCGAGCCGGAAGAGTTGCCCGAGTTGTTGTTGCTGCTGCTGCTGCTGCTTGAATTGTTGCTGAGGGAAGACGCATTGGCATTGCTGCTGTTGCTACTGCTGCTGCCGCCACCAGCACCGCCCCCGCCGCCGCCGCTACCGCTGCTGCTGCTGGTGCTGCTGCTGCCGCCATCCTCCTGCTGGCTGCTGCTGTTCGAGCTGCTGTTGCCCAGCGCACCGTTCTGCTGCTGCTGTTGATCTGTGGCCTTGACTATTTCGTGTTTGGCCTCGGAACTTTTGGTGCCGGGCTTCGTGCGTTTGATCTTCATTTTGAGTCCTTTATCGAGCGTTGCCTGATGATCAATGGACATTTTTGCGCTCGATTTACCGCTGCCGCTTTGCGAACCTTGGCCACCGACTGTGGCGCCACCAATTGTGTTGCTGCCTATGCTGCTGCTGTTGTTGTTCCCGCTGCTGCTATTGTTGCTGCTGCTGTTGCCGCTGCCGCTGTTGTTGTTGCTGTTGCTAGTGTTGCTGCCTGCCTGCGAGGACATACCGCCAGCGGAGAGTTTAGCTTGCTGCTGACCGCTGCCGCTGCCGCCGCCGCTACTGCTGCCGCTGCTGCTGCTGCTGCTGCTGCCGCCTGCTGTAGTGGAAGACTGACTGACGCAGGAAGAGACCAAATTGCCGCCTTTGGAGAAGCCGGCAAATGTCGAGGAGGACAATGTGCTGCCGGTGCCTGCGTTGGCTGCGCTGCTGCTGCTGCTGTTTGKGTTGTTGATGTTGTTGTGGCTGCTGCTGCTGCTGGTGTTGTTGTTTTTTGTTTGTTGATGATTGTTGTTGTTGTTGTGATTGAGACCAGGGCTGTTTAGCTGTGCCACTAATGCTGATTTGTAGCCCTTGCTAGCTGTGCTATGATGATGATGATGATGGTGATGGTGGTGATGATGATGTTTGCCCGTGGAAGAGGACGATCCCTTGCTACTAGATAGCACAGCTGAGCTGTTGGTGCTACTGCTGTTGTTGTTGCTGTTGCTAGTGTTGCTACTAGCTGCTATTGCCGCTGCTGGCGTTGCGTTGGCGCTGCCGCTGCTGGCAATGGGCTGGCGTGTGAACTTAATTGTGGTTGGCGATGTGGCCGACAAATTGCTATGCAATGTGGTCTTGTGCGATTTGTGAGCTGCCGCTGCTGCTGCTGCTGCTGCTGCTGTTGATAATGAGGATGCTGCTGCTGTGCTGTTAGCTTGTTTAGCATTTAGCGTTGTCGTTGTTGTTGATGTTACTGCTGCTGCTGCTGGAGTTGTTGGTGTTGCAGTCGTTTGGTTGCCACCACCCGAATGCTCCGCCGACTTTTCGATGTCAGCGTCTAGATCGTCCAGCAGTTCTGGTATGCCGCCAATATTCCACTCGTCCTCGTACTCAAAGTTTGTGTCCTTTGATTCACTTGAATTTGATGCGCTGCTGCTGCTGCTACTGGCCGACGCTGTTGAGTTGTTTGCTGTCGTTGTATTTCCAGCGTTTGCTTTGCTAGCGCCAATCAATTCTGGATACGGAGTAAAATCAAAGACGAACGAGAGAGTGAAATATATTAAAAATATTGAATTTTTCCAAACAAAATGTGATGCAACTCTACTGAATTCCCAAAAAAATGCTTACCGCGTCAAATTCTACACTCTTTACTGCCTAAAAGAGCTCAAGAGTATGGAAGACTAATAATAACACTATGTATGTATGCTACTCGCGCTCTCTCTGTCTCTCTCTCTCTCTCTTTCTCTCTTTAAGCTGCTTTCGATCGGCATTGGAAGTGATAGAGCCTGGAATAAAATTGTAGAGAGCGCAACGCCAGCTGTTTCTCGCCGATTGTCATTCAAAAGGCACTCTAACACGTTTGCATAGCAAATCTCTAAACTGCACTCATAGCTAAATCTGCTGAATTGAGTATTTTTGCAATTCCAATCAAAAGTTATTCCCAGTGATCTATCAATACATCATCATAGCTCACGCTTTAATTTCGCTCTTTTTTCGTGCACACACAATTGATTTCCAGTTGCATTTTGTACTAGGTATGCACACACATACATGTATGTACGCATACACACATACACATGTATATGCATACATGTTTGGGCATATACATACATACATATGTAATTGTGTGCTCTACTTACTCGTATGCTTCTTAATCGCACTGTTGCCTTGCAAATTATTCGTTGCTGTTGTTGCCTTCACTTTGTTATTGAAATTCAATGCTTGGTTTGTGGCTGCCGTTGTCGTTGCTGCTGCTCCTGTCGTTGCTGCTGCCGCTGTTGTTGTTGCTGCTGCTGTTGTTGTAGCCGCTATTCCTGCTGCTATCGTTGTTGTTGCGTTTGCCGCACTTAAATTAGCTAACAATTTACTCTTAATATTGCTTTCCGTTGCTACGTTGCTGCTATTCAGGGCCACCTGCAAGAGACAAGACCATAAGAAAATAAAAATTAATATAATCCAAATATATGTACATATGTGTATGTGTGTATGTATACGACAGAGTAGAATTTTGAATCTCAAAAAGTACATACAACGCACAAAAAAAAAATAAAACACAAATTAATGTGGAATGGGAATATTTTGTGCTGCGTGCTGCCTATGCCGTCGTTTTCTTCTTCTGCTTCTTCATGTTCTTTTTCTTTATTACCGTTTCAAGCGATTTTTCCATTCCATAACAGGCGGCCAAATRTGATCAAATCCAATTGCAAACGATTTGTTATACATTTAAATTGAACAAATTAAATATTTTTAAATAAATAATAATAATAATAAAGAAAACGCCGAAAATGCTTTGCGCGAGCGTTCTCCAGCGTCCTTTTTCGTATGGCAGCGCGGCGACGCAGATGAGACTGAACACAAAAAAAAAGAGCTCAAAGAGCAACCACCGAAAACGGCACGCACGCAAGCACACTGACACAATACACACAAGAAAACACACGCATACATTGCCACAAAATTGAACGGGAGAGTAAGCGTGAGAAAGAGAGCGAACGAGCGAGAGCGGCAAGCGCATAAACAAAAACGCCACTTTAATGCAAGTGTTGGTAAACGACATACAAAATATATAGTTCCTATGCGATTGCTGTTGTTGTTGTAGTTGTAGTTGGTTTTGTATGATTTACCCCAGTCCCATTCCATGCTCGTTCAATAATAAAGAAAGACAGCTTTAAGTAATTGCGATTATATTTTGCTCAAGCCAATAAATCAAACATCACCAATTTTAAGCTACCGCTGCGGCCATAAAAACAAACAACGAAAAAAAAAAACAGCTTGTCCAACACACACACACTCACGCATAGTAATGTCTGTACGTTAGAAAGAGTACTTTGTAGTATTTCGTATTAAATTTTTTGTGTTTGTATTTTTTTTTTTCGCTATCGTCATATTTTCACTTTATCTGCTAACTGTAAAGTCTAGTGGCCACTTGAGAAACCGCACCACTTGAGGACCAGGCCAAGCGAAACAGATGACAATAAAATAATTACGGCTCTTATCGCATTTAGTAGTAGTCGGGTTATTTGGGCGGGGTGGTTGGGATGTTGAGATGTTGGGTTTGCTACATGCCACTTACTTACCTTATTCGGGTGGTGGCTAGTGTTCGCCTCGTTACGTCTCATTGACTCCATGCAGACGCAAACGATCGGGCGGCCGCACTGTGCGGGCCCAAAGTACTGCCAATTGTGCCTAGGAACGTACTTTTTAGTGTGTTGCAGCCAGTGTTGCTGATCTTCTGCGTGTTGATGCTTTTATTCTTGTAGTAGCTATCGTTGATGTTGCACTGCTGCCGCACTGTCGCGTAGAGGGTGGAGACGCAGGGCCTCGGCCCTCGGGCCAAACTGTTCATTTTCAAAACTGCAATGACAGCAAAAACAAGCGAAAAATTAGTATTGAAGAGTGTGAGTAAGAAGCTGCATAAACACACACAATTAATATATCGCTAAAAATAAAACATGCAAAGTAAGAACAAAAATAAAGGGATAAAGAAAATAAAACAAAAATACATAAATAACAATTTTGTTGCCTTTAAAGTTTGGCGGCCTTTCGAGTTTTGCGATTAACGCTACCCGCCTTCTTATCGATCTCTCTGTCTCACCCTCTCTTCGTCAGGCTCCCTCCCTCTCTCTTTCTGACTCTCTGTCGTTCCTGTCTTCCTAGGTATAGCTGCACTGAGGCAGTGATTTGCCGTAGGAACTGCACTTGGCAGACACCTTAACGACTTGGCAATTAAAACACTTTTCGCAATTTACTGATAACCCACTCAAGTGCTTGAAATATGATTTGGGTTAACATGTTGCCGTTGCCCGAGCACACACGGTAGCTGATTTCTGATAAGATAACGTGATAGCGCAGACAGCAAGCAGAGCCCAGCCAAATAACTATTTGTCACACAACAGAAATATGTTGACAAAAAAAAAAAAAAAAAAAAAAAAAAAAAAAAAAAAAAAAAAAAAAACGAGGCAAGCAATTAAATAAATTTGCATGTGGTTAGCATTTTTTACGATAATTAAGTAAAGCAAACACAAACATATTCACATGTTCGTGTATATGTGTGTATGTGTGTGTGTGTGTGTGATTTTTTTCCCAATGTGGGCCGCTATTTTGTTTGCCGTTTATTTGTTATTATTATTGTCGTTGCTGTTGTTGGCTTTTGTAATTCTGCCTTTTAATATGGATATTTAATTAATTGAGTTGTTGCTTTTTATTGGCATTATTAAAAAAGTGCCCACGCATATCAATAATTGGACAGACATCTGTGTGTGTGTGTGTGTTGTTGATGTTATGAGTGCTTCGTGATGGTTGTTAAGATTTAATAGACCTACGCCTGATGTGAACTTAATAGATATAATAATATCTATGTAGATAGATATAATAACAATATAGTTATGTATAAATTTGCTGCATTAGCGGAAAGGTTTTAAGCCACTTTCTCACTTCACTTTTTAGGGTTTCTTTTTTTTTTAATTTATTTATTTTTTTTTTTTTGTGAGGTAATACTATATTTAGGTACTCTGTTATAATTTTGGTGGTATGTTAATTGCACGCAACATTTCGTCACCTTCTTTATCACTCTTATAAATGTGTCCTGCAATCGCTGAATACTTAAATATTGAAGCGCCCATTGGGAAGCTGATTGCAATGCTCAGTGATTAACGTCACGTGCAGTGCGGGTGGTCGGCTGTGTGGTATGCAGCATGCAGCATGTGGCATGTGGCCATGTGGCATGTGGCATGCGACGTGCCAAAGCGCGTTAAGTGCTATTGCAGCAGCTATAACAAACAACAAACAACAAACGAGGGCCGATTGAAACACTCCATAATTTAGACAAATCAATAAATTACTAATAGCCGCCGTTCGACAACGAATTCGGCTAAAGATTGCCAACGGGGCGAATGTGGCAGCCGGGGCGCAGGGGGCGTGCCAGAGGAAGAGCCGATGAAGCTGCCGGGGCAGTTGGCAATACAAAAGACAGCGCCGGTCATCGTTCAAGTCGTGTTTTAAATTGGGTTTGCGGCAAGACTTGAAAAAAAGCCAAGAAAAAAAGGCTAAAAAAAAGGCAGCTAAAAAAAAATGCTTAAAAGAAATAAAAAATATATTTCCCTTCTGCAATTTTTATGGCTGCGCAAGGAGAAGACAGAAGAGGATAGCAAAGAGAGACCCATAGGGGGATAGAGAGAGACGCTGGGTCTTGTTATGGAGCTACCCAAAAGGCTGTCCGCACGTACTAAACATCAAGCGAGAGCAGTCGAGCAGGATGCGGGGCACTGCGCGGCGTCTGTGCGGCAACTAAGTTCAAGATTTACGACCACATCGTCAGCAAGCTCATACCCATAGCCACCGCTGCTGCCCCTACCCCTATCGTTAACCATTGCCAGCCACAGCCCCAACTCCAGCCTCCAACCTCAACGTCTCATCCTCTCATCGTCGTCATCGGTTGTTTTGCGGTTGTATAAGATCGATCCGCGGCTGCCGCTAAATGAACGCCTTTGGGGAGTTGCCAGTTGCGCGCTTTTATTAGCGAACTAACCGCAAAAAGGCACCCAAAGGAGGCAGCCAGAGATACTCAGACCGGGCCCAGCCAGGCCAGGCCAGGCCAGCGCGCAGGGAGCCTCAATCTCTGGTTTGCGTCAGCTTCAGCTTCAGCTACCTCTGCTGCGACGGCTGCAGCTTTGCCTCAAGTTGTGCGGCACAAATTGAGCTACGTTTATAATTTTGCTGGCTGTTATTTTGTTTTGATTCGCTTCGATGCGCGATAATTTGATTTTATATTCATAATACACACACACAGGCTTCAACTTTCTCACTATCTCTCTCTCTCTCTCTCTCTCTCTCTCTCTCTCTCTCTCTGGTTGCGTTGGTGGCTTCATCTGTGGTTCAATTGAACTAAGTGAAGTCGCCTCTGTATTAGAGTAGGTCTTAAGAGCAGCTATGCTTCAATAGAGGAACGACAAAATAAAAAGGGTGAACACACTCGAGTGTCGATCATGCCACTTAAAGCGCAGCCTGGCATTAAGGGGTACTGCAACACTGCGGCACATCATTCAATTGGCTCACACACACACATAGTACATACACACACATATTTTGTTTTCAATATCGATCACTGAATGGCCTGGCAATTGAAGTGCCTCTGCGGCATACTCAAGTGGACGTCGCTTTGGGGCCTCGAGAGATAGAGAGAGGGAGAGTGAGAAGGAGTGCAGTGAGAGAGTAATGTAGAGAGGGAGAGGTAGAGGAGTTGGATATAGACTTTGTCAGGCATTTCAACTGCATTTGTTAGTTATTCATAAAGTGAATATGGTATAAGAGCATGATGTATACAAAGTTCAGTATTGAAGAATAAGTTTAGAATTAGTTTAAATTCTTGCAAATTATGTCTAGAAAGAAGCTGATATGAAGTCGCCTAGCAACATTAAATTATCATCTAACATATTGTGAATATATACTATATATTTCTATAAATACAAACTGTTAGCTTCGGTCTATTATTGCATGCTCTGCGTTATCGTTTTATCAGTTGCCGTCGATTCAAATGAATTTGAAATACAACAATAATTTGTATTTTCGCTAACACAACTTTTATTGTTGTTAACAAGGCAAGTTGCATTAGGGATCTACATGCGATTAATCTATTCTATATAAATGGAAAGGCAACAATAACCGGTATCAATTGAAAATGTTAAAACGTTCGCTGCTGTCGCTCTCTATAGTATGGATACTGCTCTGGCTGCCTGATGATTCTGCTGGCAAGGTACAGTATAGCTAGGACATAGATTACAGGATAACGATGCATATTATAGAACATATATACATATTAAATATTACAGCGCAATTGGGACTATGAGCCGCTGTCCACCTTAACTGAATCCTCCAATGAAGACATGATCAAATTGGAGGCCAAAGTTGAGCGAGTCGGACGCGACGAATACGCTATATCTGCTGATTTATTCGTCAATTTTGATATGGATGAGACCACAATGGTGAGTCCCATTGGCATTAGCAAAGTGAATCAGATTCTGTATAGTTCCTGTGCAGGTTGAATCGTATGGATACCGCAGCTCATCGGGCAACGAGGAGGACTACAAACTATTGCCGTGGAGCATACCGAAGCAAACATTTGAAAAGTTTGTCGAAGAGTATTACGAGAAGATCATCTTCAAAAATTTGCACCAATGCTCGAATATACCAGAGACAAAGGATGCATATCCCTGGCCCAAGGGCACCTACACCTTCGATAAGTGTATCGTTTCTGGCGAGGGTATGCCCGAAATAGCACCCGAGGGCTACTACAAGGTAATGTTTGAAGTTACCGGGCAATACGACTTGCGCTTCACCGCCATCGTGAAGGTGACGACCAAAACTGATATGATTGGCTGAAGGATAGAATAGAGTACGCATCGTTGTTATGGATAAGAAATGTATGAATATGTATGAAATAATATTAAAATGGGATGAGGCATTATATATATAATATACAAAATTCCGAAAGTTTTTTATTGGGATTATCCACAGCTTGGGATGCTATGAATTTTTTACCAAAAGCTACTACAAGGACATCGTTTAGAAGAAAATGCGAAGCAACTGGTGGAAAGACAATGAAATGAATTACTAAAATAAGCTTATCTTCATTTATAATCCACTAGAATATCTATGCAAATATAACTGCACTATATTTAATTTTTGGATGAGAAATAAGAAAATGGCACTGGGAGGGTTTGACTAGGAGATACCCGGAATTTTTCATATAGCTTTATTAAGATCTCTTATCCCTCAAAAATATGATCCCAAAAAACCACGTTAGACAAATATGCCTAGATGGACTAAGCTCTTCGTTCTAATGTATAGTATGTATATGACTGTGACTATTAGTCACGTCTCTTCCCCTCTCATTCATTTAATGAGTTTAGAGAGGTATTATTTTCTGCATTAGCTGGATGAGTTCATAATTATACTATCGATACTATCGATACTCGTTAAGTTTCTGTATCTACGACTGGTGGCCTAGCATGCAATGGCAACGACATGCTGATTCACGATTCCAATTACAAATAATTTATTGCTATATTCCATCACATAGTCAAAATGTATAAATAATGTGATTTGGATAGTGCCAAACACAAATGAATATGTCAACTCGACTGAGAGACGTGCTTGCTGCGACTTTTGTAGTGATTTGCCTGTGCCATAGCTGTGCAGGAAAGGTAAGTGATATATCCGTAAAAATCAGATAAACTGATCTATTCAGAGCATATTCCTATATATCCCTCAACAACAGCGCAACTGGGACTATGAACCCATTTCTGTACACTTTGTAACTTCGGATGCCAGCAAAATAAATGTGATTTCCGAAGTCGTGCGTGTGAGTCGATACGAATATGCCATATCAGGCAATTTAACAGTCACTGAAGATTTGGATGAGACAACGATGGCAAGTGCTAATCACTGCATGATTCCAAAATATTCTATATAGATTTAGTATTTGCTTAGATTGAGGCGATTTGCTATCGTAGTAAATCAGGTGCCGAGGACGACTATTCGATTCTACCCTTCTCCATACCTAATCAGCCTCTCGAAGACTTCACTAAGAGCTACTACAAGGATATTCTATATAAGAGTTTGAAACACTGCTCGAATGTCCCGCCACCCGAGGAGGCCTATCCATGGCCCAAGGGTGTCGTAACATTTGATATGTGTTCGGCAACTGGCGAAGGTTTGCCTGAATATCTACCCGAAGGCTACTATAAAATTATCTTCAATCTCCGAGGAGGGGTCGAAATTGCTTACACTGGCATTGTAAAGTTGACCACCAAATTGTTTTGAATGGTTCAAAGACGTGTAAGAATAATATGAGATATATCTTCATATGACTCCTTATTGAAGCTGAATAAAATTGAAGAATCTAAATATTTGTTGTCGGTTTGTTAATCTTAAATAATCTTAAATAAGATCGGTTTTAATTTTTGAGTTTATATCTGAAACTGAATAAATATTTATAGATTTTTTAATTATTTAAAGTTTTCTATATCTTTCGAAAGGTATATCCTAACAGAGCTTAGATCTGTGCATTACTTCACCAGCGACTTGATTTAAAGTTTCTAGCAAAATTGAATTCACTAAAACCCTAATTAAATAAAAATTGTTCTGCATATTAATTATAGATTTTTGATAAAAACAAACAACAGTTATTATGTAGGTACTTGTAATATATAAAACAGACTTGTTAGCATGCAAAAAATATTCCATTTAACCATATCGGATTGACTGTCATGTTAATCATGCTATTCAAACCGAAATGATTAAATGAAATATTTTTGAATATATTCAAAGCTCGCTAATACTTTAGGATACATGTCATATGATCTTAGATCAAGCCAGTAAGTTGCTATATAAACCAACAATGTGTGGTGCAATATAGAAGTTGAACTGGGACAGCTAAGAGAATGTATATTCAATTCATTCCTCGCTGGATTTTTGCATTATATTTGCTCTCAATGAGCTGCAAGGCAGAGGTGAATATATGGCAATGTGAATATATAGATATATGAGGATTACCATGGATTCTCTTCATGCAGCGCAATTGGGACTATGAGGCGCTGTTCATTACAAGCAGATCATCGGATGAATCACTAGTGAGCATCGAATCGCGAATCGGACGCAAGGGACGCGGCAGTCCTACGATCTCGATCGTTTTAGAAGTTAACTATCAAGTAGATGATGAGACTTTGGTTGGTATAAATTGTATTACCCAATAAGTCAGTATTTAACATGATCGATTTACCTTCAGATCGAGGCTACAGTCTATCAAAGTTACACGGGCCACGACGATGATTACAAGCTGATGCCTTTTGGCATAGAAAAAAAGACATTTCCCGACTATATCAGGGAATTTTACGACAATGTGGTTTATACCAATTTGGGTCACTGTTCGAATCTGCCAAAGCCCGGCGAACAAATTCCCTGGCCAATAATGACGTACAAGTTCGACGACTGCGTTTTCTCCGGCGATGGCTTGCCCGAAATATTGTCCGAAGGCTATTACAAGATATTTTTTAATGTTACTGGTCCGGTTGACTGGAGCTTTGTGATCGGCGTTAAGATTGTCTCTAAGAGCAATGCAATGGGATATTATTGAAAATTGTTAAGAGGAAATTCAGCTTCAGTGTGAAGAATAAAGTTATTGTATTAAATATGTATGATTGAGGATTGAAGTTGTCTCTTTTTGAACGATCCCCTTTTCGATTTCCTCTTGAATAATCCATAATATATATACATAATATAAATTATAATATAATTCGATACATACTGTATGAATGCTAATTAACGTTATTAAAATGAATCAGATAAACTGCCATGTTAACTGGTTGTCGGTTATGCAATTTATGACCCGGTCAACGAGTTAACAACTATCAAGCTAATCAGTTGCTATAAAAGCTTCAAGCTTAATGCGCTTCACAGCAAAACGAAAAGTGAAGCAGAACAGCAGACGGGGAAATGGATATTCCATCAGTTCTTTCATGGATCTTTGTAATATTATGGCTCTCAACGAGCTGCAGCGGCAAGGTAACATATACCTAAGCAAATATATAATCCAATTATATAATAATATAACACCGAACCCAATCTCCTTATCATGCAGCGTAATTGGGATGCTGAGACCCTGTTTGTGAATAGCTCCACTTCGGATGAATCTCTATTGGAGTATACGACGGAAATTGTGCGCCAGGGTCGTGAGAAGCCTACGTTCTCAGCAGTGTTAGACTTTCATTACCAACTGGATGATACGACTACGGTTAGTTATAGAACGCATGGCGGAACGTTTATCTCAGTATATTTGCTCACAGGTCGAGGTGTTAATCTATCACAGTCAAACGGGCGGCGAAGATGATTACAAGCTGATGCCATGGAACGTGCCGCAGAAGCCTTTTTCGGAATTCATAGGCGAGTACTATAAGGATTTGCTCTATGCCAATTTGGGCAGCTGTTCGAATTTGGCCGAGCCTGGCAAGGAAATTCCATGGCCTAAAATTACCTACAAGTTTGAGAAATGCCAGATAACGGGCGATGGTATGCCCGAAATAGCGCCCGAAGGATACTACAAGATATTCTTCACCGCAACGGGCCCAGTCGACTGGAGCTTCGTTTATGGCATGAAAATTGTGTCTAAAAGCAATGCAATGGGCTATTAGCTATTGCAAATTTGCATAACAAGTTTAAAGCATAGCTAAATAAAGAGAATTCAGTAAAAAATTGAGTAGGTGTAGATTAAAATCCTCAGGGATTTTCCTCTGTAAGCTATTCTTTCAAAATTATATTAAATAAACAAATATTCTGTTGCAGATATTAGCTATGTACATCGCTTTGATTATTCAACATATATAATTCCAAAATAATATATTCATCTAAAAATATCGATAATTATCGATAGCACATTTAGATAGACTTGTCAACTATATACGTTGTGTTTGTGTATATGAATTATGTAGGTTTAATTGAGTAGCCATACCCTTGCTCTGCGTGTTTTGGCTTAATATATTTTAAAGTCAATTAACGAATTGTCAAATAAAGAGCAGAAAGTTAGTTTATTATTCAAATAAATATTAGTTTACATTCGAATTAGTTATAGTTCTAGATTACTATCTACAGTTCCTGACACGAAATATTGCCGACAATGAACGCTATCAGATGAATGTTATGGGCATGTTAACAGCCAAAATTGCGAGTAGTGGTAAAGATCTACAAAAAAAAGTACAATAATTAACGGAATCAGATGATACCTAGTAATCCATATATAAGGTATAAATGTTTTAGGTAGACCTTTAAGCGTGACATTAAAAATGTTCGCGAATTCAAGGCTAGTCGTATTTTGGTTCCTGCTCAAATGTTCTCTGGGTGAAGTAAGTGAAAATATATAAAAACGGAAAAAGATTAGATTACATTGTAGTCCTGTTATAGCGCAACTGGATCTACGAACCACTCTCTGTTGAAGCGAAAACCTCGGATCCATCGAAATTAAATATTGAACCATCATTGGATCGTATTGGACGTGATTTTACAATATCAATCAATTTGGATTGGAACTACGACGTAGACGAGACGACAATGGTGAATATTTCGTTAATTATATGAAATTTCTATAGCCATATATTTTATTATATCTGTCTATCAGGTGGAAGCGTTCAGTTATCGCAGCGCTTCGGGCAACGAGAAGGATTATACCCTAATGCCATGGACCATGCCCAAACAGACATATCAACAGTATACCGAAACCTATTATCAAAATATTGTCTACAAGAATTTAGCAAACTGCTCAAATCTGCCCGAGCCTGACAATACCTACCCTTGGCCCAGGGGACAATACAAATTGGAGAAGTGTGTGGCCAATGGCGATGGATTACCCGAAATTGCACCCGAAGGATATTATAAGATAATATTTCAGGTATCCGGCGAGGTCGATTGGGAATTTGTAATGATATCAAAGTTGACAAGTAATACAAATCTGCTTGGTTGAGAAGTGTGAGATGGGAGAATTATTGAGAACTATTCTATGTATACATATATCCATTAAGATATTGGAATAAAAGCAAAGGTTGATTATGTTGATTGATGTATAGAATTATAGCCAAGCTCAATCTCTGAATAATCAGCAGAATAGTCTTTATCCGCATTATCCTAGAATTATCTCTAGTTTTAATAGAATTATCTTGAGTCTTACGTAAAAAACCAAAGGATATAAATCCAAGTTTCAACAGCAAATCTCATCAGATTGGCTAGTCAGGTAGATGTAATCTAATAGTCCACTTTTCGAATGGATTAAACAGTGGGAAGGAAAAACCCAGCCTTGATATAAGACCCGACTCATTAAGCATATTTTCTGTTCAACTGTGAAAGGTTTAACTGGATCTCTGCACAATAGCTGCATGTTTTGTGGGCGTAACCAAACGCCTGCTGTGCCGCATTCCAGGTGAGTTTTACTGTTGAAGGGCCGAATGTGGCAGGCAGGTAGAGAAATTAGTTTGCGCCAGCTGTTGCCAGTTGCCAGTTGTAACAGCAGCAGCAACCGCGGCAACAACAACAGCAACAACTCAACGTTAGATCGAGTGTGAAATTGTCAAGACATGCTCGAAATACTTGTGGCAAAAAGTGTTAACTGTCAGGCGAGCGAAAAGCAAGTTAACGGTAAAGCTATATATATGTACACGTATATGTTTGACTGGCTAGAGTAAAACGAAAGAAAAGTCTGACAAAAATGTCGCCGTGCAAAATGCAATTCGAATCGCATTTCCAGTGAAAACTTGGCGCAGTTGCTAACTAATTTATTGCAAATTGTTAAAGCGCTGACGAGGACCCAAGTTGCTGCTGTTGCAGCTACTATGTTGATATTGTTGCAAGTTGTTGTTGTTGCACGTTGCTGTTGCTATTGCTGTTGCTGTTGCTGTTGCCTGTGTTGCTGCCCGCTGGGGCTTGTCAGGCTGCTGACAGGCGCATTGGCAGTCGGCACAGCGTTTCGCGTCTGTTATTCATATGAGTGTGCATGGAAAATGCCGTTGCACTACCATTAGAGTGGACCCAAAAACCAAACGAACAAGCAACAAAACTAGCGTAAAGCCAACGTTTGGCATTTGAATTAGTTTAGTTTTAATGAGCTGAAAATGCAGCGAACTTAACAGTTTAAGACATTTATGAATGCAGTTTGCAGAGTAACTGCAGTTGAATAGTTTAGCTCTGCTTAAGATTAACGTTAGTTTTTTTGCTGCATAACATTTACCAACACTGGTGTATTCACATAATCAGTTTTTATGTGATGATAATAAATTGCTAGTTCAGTTTAACTTCTTCGTATATACGATCTTTTCCAGCATTCGTTACCAACACTGGCTTTTCGCTTTTAGCTATTTTAATATAATTTAGTCATAGCAAGGTAATATGAATTATGGAATGGTTAAATGAGACTTTGTAATTCTGCTCAAAGAAAATTGCCTTTTCAGCCGACCTTTGCCAACACTGGCTTTATATATAATTGCTGTTCTTTTCTCTTGTAAGAACTTTTTAGCTATATTTAAGAATATAATTTTTACATATTTTTAACAACAAAAAATTCTGTTTGCATCTGTGTGTTAATTTGAATGCTTAACCAACACTGGTCGCAATTAACACTCATGCTAATCGTTATCATTTAATGACTAAGTCAAGCTTAACTATTTGGTACATTTTGTTGATTTATTTTAACATTTTCCGCTTTATATAGCTATACATATATAGTTGTCTTACTCAACACTGAAATCCAACTTTGGTTCAGCCTAATGTGTAACGTTTCCATTTCGACAATTTGCATGCACACGCATGTGCTGTGACTATGGCAGTTGCTGTTGCTTTGGTTGTTGCATAGCCCGAATTACCAACATGAACGAACGAACGAACATTTTACAGCGTCTGACAATATCAAATTGTTATCTGGCATAAAATAATTACAGCGCTTTAATGCAGACAAAATAGTTGCCGCTGCAACGGCTGCCAACCAAAAACCGTGTTTTTTTTTTTTTTTTGTATCGCCTGCCAATTTCGAGTGGCAATAAAAGCGCGTGTGCGCGAGATTTGAGCGCTTCGATAGGCAGCGGGAAAGGCAAAAGCAGCAACCACAACAACAACAACAACAACTACTACTACAGCAGCAACAGCAACGGATATGTTGCCTGGTGGCAGTTGAAACTGCGCTAATTAACCAAAAACGCAGCCAATTAGTTTTTGGCCAACACCGCAAAGCAAGTTGGCTAAAGGTGTAGCTAAAGGTGCAACGCGAGGTGCGCTGAATGCAAACGTGTTGGCATGTGTCAAATATATGAATGCAAAACTTGTTATGCGAGTCGGCTACGAATTAGTGTTGGCAGTCTCTCTCTCTCTCTCTCTCTCTCTCTCTCTCTTTCTTGCTCTCTCTCTCTCTCTCTCTCTCTCTCTCTCTCGCATGTGCGCCAGTGTTGTAGAGGTGCCGATAATTATTAGTATGTGCCATCTAATAATTGGTTAGCCAACCCAGAGCCAGCTATATTTAATAGCCAGGCGAAACTGTTAGACGATGAGCTATTATTATTACTCTTTTATTAGCATGTAAACGCAGCTAGAGCAAATATACATTAG